TGGTGTGTGATGAGTGGTGTTTGATGAATGGTGTAAGAGGAGTTGTGTGTGATGAGTGGTGTGTGATGAGTGGTGTGTGATGAGTGGTGTAAGATGAGTGGTGTGAGATGAGTGGTGTGTGATGAGTGGTGTGTGATGAGTGGTGTGTGATGAGTGGTGTAAGATGAGTGGTGTAAGATGAGTGGTGTCTGATGAGTGGTGTGAGATGAGTGGTGTGTGATGAGTGGTGTCTGGTGAGTGGTGTGTGGTGAGTGGTGTGTGATGAGTGGTGTTAGATGAGTGGTGTCACATGAGTGGTGTGTGATGAGTGGTGTGTGATGAGTTGTGTGTGATGAGTGGTGTGTGATGAGCTGTGTGTGATGAGTGGTGAGAGATGTTTGGTGTAGGATGAGTGGCTGGTCCGGGAGGCTCTGCGCGCTGCGCCTGCCACGAAATCTACAGTACAGGACCCCGGGCCACGAAATCTACACTCCAGGTTCACCAAGTGCTGTGCCTGCAACGGGCATCCGAGGGCCAGCGGCGACCACGCGCGCCGCAGCTGATCCAGGTGGTGTAAGACGGTGGTGTAAGATGAGCAGTGTAAGATAGGTGGTGTGAGATGAGTGGTGTAAGATGGTGGTGTAAGATGAGTGGTGTAAGATAGGTGGTGTAAGATGAGTGGTGTCAGAAGGGGTGGTGTGAGATGAGTGGTGTCAGAGAGGTGGTGTGAGATGAGTAGTGGGAGATGGGTGGTGTCCGATGGGTGGTGTAAGATAGGTGGTGTAAGATGAGTGGTGTGAGATAAGTACTGTGAGATGGGTGGTGTAAGATGGTGGTGTAAGATGAGTGGTGTAAGATGAGTGGTGTGAGATGGGTAGTGTGAGATGAGTAGTGTGAGATGGGTGGTGTAAGATGGGTGGTGTAAGATAGGTGGTGTAAGATAGGTGGTGTGAGTTGAGTGGTGCATTAGGAGGTGTAACATGCGTGGTGTGAGATGAGTAGTGTAAGATGAGTGGTGTGAGATGAGTGGTGTAAGATAGGTGGTGTAAGATGAGTAGTGGAGTGGCGGGCTGCGGAGGCGGGGGCGGCGGAGGCGGAGGCGGCGGACGCGGAGCGGCCCGTGCAGAGCGAAAAACAAGAACCCCACATAGTGATGTGGGGAAAAATAGAGATTATCATAATGTTGGGCAGAGTGCGCTCATAAGAATACATCAGAGGTTTTGCACGTCGCTCATATGAACGTCGCTCATATGACCTTTGTTGGCATACCGTATGACAGACCCGACGCCCAGGTGAGCGAACTCGATGTTGGTCCAGCGGCTCTGCGCTGGTTCCCAGGTGAAGGGAAGAAATCCAATGGTGCGAATGGAAAAGAACCAGAAAATCATCCAACATGAGGGGAATTTGATTCAATTAGCAACAGATGGTTTTAACGAGAGGATCCATCGGATCTACCAAGCAATCTATCAAGGGGGTCCATATTGAGTCGAATATGCAACAAATGCGCTACTAGCAGCAAGAAACTACTAGTAACAAGTTGCATTACTACTGGTAACGAGAAGCTACTAGTAGCAAGGTGCATCGCTACTAGTAGAAAGGGCGCCACTAGAGACGCATTTGTTGCAAAACTGTAGTCATCCTTTGGAGTTGGGCGCCACGTGTTGGGCACCATGTGCAACAGAAGATGCGGGAACTTGGTACATGGACGACACGAGGTGATCAAGCTTAAGGGTGGCTTTGATCGATGGCCCGATGGCTGCCAAGCAAGTTTGGCACTTTTGCTGAGTGGACATTATTGAGCATTCTTAAGCTGATTTGAACTGTTTTCTCCAAGATCCTGCACTGTGAAGATCTCAAAGAACAAACAACTTTTGGAGGGCTTTGTTGCAAGTCCCCTGTATACCCAAGCCATGGCAAGAAGAACAGCGGTTGCTTCGGTCGCGGAACCATGCGGAGTCCGCCAAACCATGCAGCCTCCTATACCCGGATCAATGAACACTTCCACCATGACAGTTGATTTGTGTTCCAATCTAGTTCTACAGGCAAAAGACAATGTCGTAACTTTTTGTTGAGTGATTGCTACCCTGCCTTGGGGGGAAAGCTTTGCGGAAAGTCGTTTGTTTCCCCAAACTCAAGCGAACTCTGTTGGTTGGGTGCATCGCTATTATTCAATTCATACCATATATTATATATAAATATAAATTTTGTGCCTGGAAGCTGGTGATTGATGGTTCCCGTGTTTATGAGAAAAACATAACTCAAAAAAGAGCGTAAACATGCGCAAACCATTACCGTAGGCCTCAGTCCACCATGATGTTGTGGGACTCAGTGCCTTGCTCGCCCCGCAGCAAGCAAGTTTTATCCGCTTGGTCTCGGCCATGCCGATGCACACTGAAAAGCCAGAAGAAGAGAAGCCGGATGGACTGAGCCCCAGAGATCATGCCTTGGACTATCGGAAGAAACCGCAACGATGAAGGTGGGGGTGAGAAGCAAAAACAATTGAATGGGCGTAGGACCTTGAGTGGGATAGTCTCAGAAATGCACCCACGTTCAGTCACTCTAATCGGGACTTGGGTTGTAATTGTAGTCAATTCAAGAAGTCAGGTTCAGAACACACATCTGGACCGCTGAACATGGTACAGTAGGTCTTGAGCGTCGGTTTTCATCCAATTCGATGAGAAATAGCTTGATGCAGGCTCACCTGTTCCAGATCACAAGCAAGTGCTTGATTTTCACGCTAACTGTCAACAATCCAAAAAGCATATTCCCTATACCCCCTAGACAATTTACTATCTATTCACCTCATGTATATATATATATAGGTATACTCCCTAGGAGTGTATATGCATACATTAATGTTGTATATACACCACTTTTTGCTGTATATTTCTCCTACTCTCCGAGTCTGTTTTCCCCGTCAACCTGTTCCTTCCGTTTAAGGCGAGCTGCTGGTGGATGGCCGCAAGGGCGCGCCTGGCGAACCACCCCATACCTTCCACGCCGGGATCCCGGGACCGAAGCCTTGCGGACCAAGCTTCTGTTCGGTCAAGCTTGGAGGGAGCCCTATCCAAGCTTGCATCCAGCTTTCGTTCGAACAGCGTGAAGTTGCCCAATGTTACAGTCACGGAGTTTTCGTTCTGGAATTCGACAAAGGAAGGATTAGCTCTCCAAACGAAGTAACTGTGCAAGATGGTTCGTAGGTCTTTGCCTACCATTTCTAGAAGGAACCAACTGCAACTGGAAGCAAACATTGTTGATGCTGTTTTCATTCTAACTGCTCTTGGACCCACTGTGGAACTGGTGAAAAAACAGGTGCCTCTCCCCAGCAGCGCTCCGAAGACCAGCCAGGCCATTGTTTTAGACAAGATCGACCCGTCACTGGGCAAGATGAGACGGCGCCACCGAAAGGGGTGGGAACGAAAAAAAAACAAGAGGGGCGGAATGAAAGACGATTGTCAAAAGGGAGTCCAGTTACTGTAGTTCAGTCTTGGGAACTTGATGGTTGTTGTATCACGGCCTTGGCCATTGAGGAGATCTTTGGGGTTGGAGGTCCTACTGTATATGTATATATATATATAGTATTCATTGGAAAGAACTTATAGTCAGAACCATTGCATGTCAGGATATGATAGCAGGTTTGGAAACTGATGACATCCTGGGACCAGGTACAGGTACTGCACCGTTTGTAAATCATTGGTTAAGTGCCAATAGCTGGAATCTATTGGGACTTGCTTAGTTTTCCTTCATCCAAGACTCCACAATCCACTTCAAAATTTGAAACCCACCCTCCGACCAACGATAAACCAGTGACACCCTCCCAGGAATCTCTATTTGGCACGGCCGGAGAATCTCTGGAAGCCGCCCTTTGCACGAGCGGTCTTTGGGGGGCAGGCGATGAAACTCGTTGGAAGGACATCGAAGAACAGCTGTTGATGAGTTGGTTGCAGTCATGTGGAGGCCGCCCTCGTTCTATATCATCGAAGGAACCATCATGTGAGATGGGGATAAAGCATTACCCAGAATTCACAGTCCCTGATGGCTGAATGACATCATAAACGCAATGGCCTTCAAACACAGCCCTTGGTTGCACTCTTGTGGTTGACGGACACAAATTGGCAAGCCATTTCCATGTTCCGGCCCGCTGAAACCTTTGCAATAAAGAAACCACGTGTGGAAGGGTGAGCTGGCAGGTGCTTGGACAGGCCCTAGCAGCTGCCAGTCAGACGGTGGCAATTTGGCACTGAGAAGGACCGAGATCAACGACTCCAAAAGCCGTGGGGTTGTAGAGGTTTCAATGGTGCTCCACAGGTCAATTGTCAGGGCCCATGTTAGTCTGGAGGGGGGCAAGTTGATCAAGTTGTTGAAGGGGAGAGCTAAAGGTGAGGTGTATGTCCGATACATTTAAGACATTTAAGACCCGAAGATTTCAGGTTGTTTCCCGTAGCTGCAGGTCTTCAGTGCTCGGTTTGGCCCATTGGAGGTTGCTTGCATTTGGGTGTATCATTTTGTATCCTGCTTTAGCTGTTTCGAGATTGATATCAGTTTAACATTGCAATGATTGTTGGCTACAGACTTCAGCTCTACTGCAGCCGGCCGCAATAATGTGGTGCCAGGTCAAGTCAATTCTCCCCAAATCTACCAATGCTTTTGTGGGCAACGTACTGCCTTTGCAGTGCAAAAACTGGTTACAAACGTTACTCCACCAACATAGAATCTGAGGCTACGCGGCCCAGCAAGACTGTCATTCTTCCGTAAGCAGTTTGCAAGCTTGCTGAGTTTTTAGAGCTGGCGGCCCATATTTCAGTGTCCCCCTAAAGCAACGACCGCCTTCTTATCACAGTGAAGACATGTAACATAATAGAATCAGGTCATCAACGTGATGTATTACCAGTTGTATTACCGTATTTCAATGTCCCACTATCGCAGGTGATTCACATCAGGTGATTCGTGCTACGTGCGTGAATCGCCCCTATCGCGGTGTCTTCGGGACTTCCCGAATCTCCGGACCTTTTCGCTGACCGGGCCACTCGGCCGAGCGTTCGCCCGACTCGATTCCCAGGTCGAAGGGCTTTCTCTTCATAGCACTTGGCCCGCACCGCTTCGCCGGCTTCCTCTTTTTCCCGCCGGGCGATGGGTCAGTGGAGCTCCTAAAATGGGCTAATTATATTTATATATATATATATTGATATATATTGTCAATAGGGATGGGGTCCCAGTATAGTTGCTATACAGGTACATGCCATATACTTTTGGCTCAAGTGCCCAACCAGGTAAAAAGGGGCTTTAGCGCGCGAGCTTCATGTTGACCTAAGAGCTAGAACGGGGCCAGGGCACACCTTTCCATCCGTTCACAGGTTATCAGCCGTAGCCAGACTCCTTTGAGCTGGGTACGAGCTGCGGCCTTACACAACACCATCTAAACGCACACGCATCGGATAGATCGGTTACCCTCAGTCACTGAAGATGGACCAATCCGACGCCAGCACTGCATCTTTTGGAGCAGCTGCTGCGGCCGCAGATCGGATGAGTGCATCCCATAACTCTAGTCCAGGTACGATCGAAGCGGAGACTCTGACAGCGGTGAGAGAAGATGCGACAGGTAGAGCACGAAGTCGTTCCCCGTCAGCGCACTCGACACCACCGTGGGGGACACCGAGATCAGGCCGTAGCCCTAGGGAGACAAGGAGGAGGACTGACACCGGAGCTGTGAGAGTGTTAGCATTGGAGGATGGGTCAGCTGTACCAGTGCCGTCGGACAGCGAAGCTGGAGATCGAGCAAGGGCAAGCACTGACAACCTACAACTAGCACGGGCCGATGGAGACCTGAATGCGAAGTGTGCGCAACTACTTGCCGAAGTGCATATGTTGAACCACCAAAACGCATGGATGGTCGAATGTGAGCAGAGACAGAACCAGATTATACAACACGAGACCGAAGTCCACGAAGTAGTGATGGCACACCTCGAAGAATGTTATGTCGAAGGATATGGAAATCAACGAAGAATCTCCCAACTTACAGAATCCAGAGACTGTTTGCTCTCAGCAGCACACGACCTGCAATACCAGATGGACACTGATCGTGTGGCAATGCGGGATCGTCTCACCCAGTTAGGGGAGTACGCTGATCGCAACAGCGCAGAGATGGTTAGTCAAGTTGTGAACATCGGCACGGAAGAGATCCAGGCTATATCGGCGGAAAGAGATCGAGCCGTAACCGAGATCATGACTACAATCGCAGATGCTGAGAACGTCAAGGATCTGTGTAGACAGGAGTTAGTTGGACTACAAAGGCAGAGTGCCAGAAACAAACACGAATATGCTGAAGAGATGAAGATGAGGGAAGCAATGTATGCAAACAAGATCAAATGGTTATCAGAAGAGAATGAGGAGCTCAACAACCGATCTAATACTCAGGATAAGTTCATCTTGAGCATCAGAGAGCAATTGAAGAAGGCGAACGAGGAGTTGACTCAGACGAGGATTCAAGGATCCGATCGATCGCTTCAACCATCTAGCGCCGAACTCAAGAAGGCCGAAGCCAAGGTGAACATGTTGGAAGAGGACATTCTACGTAAAGAGAGGATGCTGAAACGTCTCCAGGAAGAATTGATCGAATCAAGCGCAAGTGAAGCACAATTGAAGGTCGCACTGAAGTTGAAACCACCAGACATGGGATCAGAACCCAGTGTGGAGAATGAGATGATGGCCAAGCTTAGAGCGGAACTTGAACGTACTGAAAAGTTATTAAGGTCCGAGGAGAAAGAGGCAATTGAGTACTACGAAGGTATGATGCAGAACCAACAGGACATGATGGAATTCGAAGCGCATGCATCACGGCTCAGAGATGAGAGGAATAAGTACCGGAAGAGGTACGAAGAGGAGCGCACAAGTGCAGAGAGCGCAGCCGCAACCGAACATGGTGCCGCTTCATCCTCTAGCTCAGGCGGCTCCAAGATATCTCGGAAGGAACACGAGAAGATCAACATCCCTGCATGGCCCAAGATACACGACCTGGAGGTTTGGAAATCCCGGGTTGTAGCGGCAGTCGTGACGGCATCGGGCGACGAGAAACAAGAAGACTGGATCCAATGGCTCTCGGATGCCTTCAGATCACCATATGACCCATTTCTACTCGAGACATCAGGCGAAGCAAGATTCGCTAGCATAGACGCTAAGCTAGGTATCACCCTACATACGATCATCCACGCAGCAGGTGAGAGATCTCATGACGTACAACTGAAGGTGAGGCAGATGATGCAGAGACGTGCGAGAGGCACAACTCCTGGAATGGTCAAGGGACGAGAAATGTTAGCGTTGATCGTCGATAGTTTCCGGAGTGCCGACAACGTTGATGTGATGTATGCATCCAAGCGCTTATTCGATCTAAAGTTCCCTGGGGATAATCAACTATCCAGATTCCTTGGACAGTGGGATGAGATCATATCAGGTATGGATGCGGATGACATGCTTCCTGACAAAGCACTTCGCAACCTGCTTTGGGATAAGATTAAGGATTCCAAACTTATGGCGTTAGACTTGTCTGTGTACGACAACATGTTGGATAAGGATCCGGATAAGACCTACCAGAAGTTACGAGAGATCATGACGAAGTGGATACGGAAATCAATTGAGACCACAAACAAGAAAGAAAGGGAGAAAGCTTTTGGGAACATCGTGAAAGCCACACCAGCGGCGGAGAAGAAGGAACCTAAAGCGAAACCCAAGAATACCAAGACCGATCCACCGAAACATGACGCCGCTCCAGTGCTTCCTCAGGCTAATCCGAAGGACCACAACAAGAAGGACAAGAAGCAGGATCGTGGAAGATCAGCCACGAAGAGCCCAAAAGGGGATCGTGGCAGGTCAGCGACTCCAGCAGATACGTCTAAGATAGGATGCGCTTTCCACTTCCTTGGGAAAAACGGATGTTCTAGAGGAGACAAATGCAAGTTTAGCCACCAAGAGAAGCACAAGAGTTCTGCTAAGAAACCAGAAAACCTCAAGGGTGACAGATCAAAGAGTCCCGGTGGCAGGAGCAGTAGCCCTAGGCCAGTGAAGGATCAGATCTGTTGGAATTGGCAGAAAGGATCGTGCAAGTTCGGGGATAAATGTCAACGTCAGCATCACGCTGCTCCTGCTACAAAACAAGAGGCTAGAGGCAAAGCCAAGCCCAAACCGGCTGCGCCAGCCTTCATGCTTTGCGGAGACATCGAGAGTGATGACGAGGACGTACAACCCGCACTTCCCAACGTACAACAAGGTAAGCTGGCGCTTCGCTTTAAAGTCAGATTCGATGACCAGGCGAATGTGACCACGTTCACCTGCGATCCTGGTAACGAGTTAAACAACCGTCCCTCCAAGAAGAAGAAGAATGAGGTGCAGAAGGTGGATACCGAGCTCATTTCGTCGTTGAGAGCCCTCAGAGTGAGCAACATAGCTGCACGAGTAGCACATGCCAAAGGTAAGATGATGGAGCTATTCTATGCTGAACACATTGCCAAGGCATGGATACAAATCACTCGAGATGAAGGAATCGAGGTGAACGTCGACCTGTCTGATTTCAACACCAGAGAGGTAGTAAGGAAGGATTTTGTCGACTACACGATACCAGGAACCACGATGTTCATGGCTGTGGAGAGGTATGATGGACCACCAATACGCTTCATCATGGACACAGGATGTGGACACGATTTGATCTCAAGAGAGAAAGTCAATGCCATGGGCCTTACCACCAAGGAAGGACCCAAATCCGTGAGCTTCATGACAGCGAATGGTGTAACTAGTACATCAGAGATGGTGGACATCAATGTGGACGAACTACCCATGAGGTCCGAGGCACACGTGTTGGAAAGCACACCATCAGTCTTTTCCATCGGGAAACGGTGCATGGAACAAGGGTACTCATTCATATGGCCGGCAAATCAATTGCCATACCTCATCGACCAGAACGCGAACAAGATTCCGCTATCGGTGCATGACAACATACCCTACATCAAGGTGAATGATGATGACGGGAGATGTTTACCAAGACCAGACGGCTTGGCTACGATACTTCATCGCATACTGTCAGGTGTGGGGCATGAAGACGAGGTCACAACAGGTCAGGAGACACAACAAGAGGAACTTCCGCCCAAGAAACCACGGAGACGGAGGAGAAAGAAGAAAGATAACCAGAGAGGTCAGGATGGTGAATCTGATATCAATCCAGCTGTTGCAGGCGTCGAAGGAGAACCAGAGGAAAACGGTGATGACAGGTATTCTCCTGAAGAGGAATATGACGGGGAAGACCCGAGATTCGATCGTGATCACGAAGGTCAACCTGAAGAAGCCGGAGGCGACGAACATGGAGGTGATGCGGATTCTGAACGAGGGGAGAGTGACATTGATGAAGATGAAGAAGGACTATTGGAAGTCGATGTGGTTGACGGGGAAACCAGACTATCAAAACCAGGAGTGCTGAAGAACGAGGCGAAATCCATATGGCACTTGATGACGCACCGATACAAGAACCCATACTGCAAGTCATGTGTGAGAGCAAAGATGAAGCACTACAAGACTAGCAAGGGAGCTTTCAAACGGAAATTGAAGGCATTCGGTGACCTTATCACTTTCGATCTCATGAACACTCAGAAGATGGCGAGAGATGGGATCATGCCGGATAAGGACATATTGGTGATTCGAGATCGGTTCACTGGTGTGATATGGGGTTATCCATTGAAAGCAAGCAATAGTGACGAAGTGGTGCAGGCAATGAAGCACTATATCGGTAAGAGAAAGGTCACCAACGCTTACTCGGATGATGCACCACAATTCGAATCAGCACTCAAGGAACTCCGGATTCCACTAGACCAGTCACTTCCAGGACGTCCCCAGAACAATTCACTCGCCGAAAGAAACAATCAGTTCCTGATGCTTACCACATCGACATGCCTACTAGAAGCCGGACTACCACCATGTTTTTGGCCATTTGCAGTGGAATGCGTAAGCCATTTATTGAACATCGAGAAGCTGAGCGATGGCGGCAGTGCATGGTTGAAATTGCACAAGAGCGAATTCCCGGGCATGGTGATACCACTTGGAG